GGAGGACGACGTGGCTGCCGGACGGCCGGTGGTACGCCGGGAACCCCTTGCTCGGCCGCCGTCGACCCGCCGGGACTGCGCCCTCCCCCCCTCCCCCGCCGGGACGGATTGTGCTCCGTCCCGCGGTCGCGCCGGTACCCTGGGGCGGTCTTCCCGTGGACGCCGGGCCAAAGGGCTCCCCTTGGGTCCCGTACCGCTCGCCGCCGCCGCGCGCAGGCGTGGGGCATCGCTGGGCGGTCGGACCAGGGGTGTGCCCTGGTCTCATGGCGGTCCTCCACCCCTCTGGCACCCTCCTCCCTGGCCGGCGCGTCGCCGGGCCGCCTGACGGCCACTCCGACTCGCCCGCCCGTGCTCGTGCGCCGCTCGCCGTTCAGACCGTTCATTGCGTCGTTCGGGGCTTCCAAGCTCAGCTCCTCTCCTCGTCACGTTCCAGGGCAGCATCGACCCGCGCTCGTCCTGTCCAGGACGCCGGTCCCGGCCGCGGCGGCGGGAGGGGAAACCCTCGCTGCCCCCTCGCCTCCTCGTGGGCTGGGCCGACTCCAGTCAGGCCGTCCTCTGATGGACCGGCCGCGGATGGGCCCTGCGATTGGCTCGTGGGCCGCTCCGATGCTGGGCTGGCCCACTCTGCCCCGGTCCGGTCCTGGGCTGCTCGGTCCGCCAGTTAAGTCGATATGGCCTCCTGCTGGCTTCCCCAGGCCTCCATCCTCTCCACCGAGGCGCAACCTAGCGACAACCCTTCCCCTCGCACCCCCTCCACCGCCGCCGCCTCCCAGCTCCCCTTGGCGCTTGTTCCGCTCGCGCAGCAGGCCGCCCTTCCCGGACCCGCCCCCATGCCATGGGACTGGGGTGATGAGGGGACCCGCCCCAAGCGACGCGCCGACGACCGCCGTGATGCTGTGCGTCCATCGCCTGAGGCGCTCCGCCGCGAAGACGACCTGCGCCGGCACCTATCGGCGCGCGATGGCCGTCGATCTCCTCCCCTCCCTGACCGTCGCTTACCTCCCCGTACGGACACCAGCTCCCCGCCACGCCGTTCGCCTGGACGGGCTGATCGCCGGGGCCGATCTCGGTCCCGCTCGCCCGCTCCTGGGGCGGACTGGCGCAACCAACGGCGTCGCTCCCCATCTCCACGCGGCGCCGGGACGACCGATCCCTCGTCCGCTCGGGCCGCTCGCGCTC